AAATTATCCCACAATGGTTGTCTTGCTCCCGCCGCTCCACCACCGCTATATCCTTCTTCTTTTTCTTTTAAAAAAAATAAGCATTCTCATCAAGAAAGAAGAAACAAAAGCAGCAGCAGAGGAACAACTAGAGAGAGGCGGTGGTCGTGGGCGAGTAGCAACAGAAGGGCAGCCATAGAAGGGTAGCAATTTTTTACGTCTTCTGCTTCTATGAGTCACATAAGCAAAAGACGCAAGCGAGTAGAGCATCTAAATCACAATTGCATAAGAGGAACCTATAGACAAACAGAATGAAAGACCCTGTGAAAGCCCTATGCCGCAATTGCAACTGAGTCAATCAATTTCGATTGCAATCATAATCACAGACGAAAGAGAGAAATATGAACAAAAAGCAAAATCTCCATACAAATCGCAATTGCAATCGAATCTTTAAAATCTAATGTCATTTCTACACTGAAATTGAGAATGAGTTTACTTGGTCTTTAGAATTTTAATTCCTGTGGATCTATATTAGATTTTTACTTCGGGCCTGCTTTATAATTTAAAATTAAACGAAACAGATTTTACTTATTATTAAATATTGAATATGATTAATTACATATAACTCTAACTTTTATATTTTAAAAAATTCAATATTTAGCTACTTCATAACTAAATGTTTCGTATTAAAAAAATAAAGACACCGAGTCAATATTGAATTTATTTAATACATGTAAATTCTAAAAAAACTTTTATTGATTATTTTATTTCGATACAAGATTTTAAAATATAATATAAAGTAACAAAATTAAGGTATTTGGATTTCGCTTCCAAGAATGTAAAGAGCAGGTTCAAATAGTGACTGCTCATATTAGGTGGATGGCATAGTATACTATATTATCTGCGTTCTCTTTCATATTTATTATTTATTTATTTAATTTTTTCAGCATTAATTAGTTGTGGGCCTGACATTATTTGACGTATAACTACTTTCATTATTTTTCTAAACGAGATGAGAGAAGTTATGCAGTTCAAGCCTCTGTGCCTGGGTTTTGTTCTGTGTTCACTAAATTTCTTGATGCTTTCAGAAATTAACTATTTTCAAAAGTTCTGTTATTTTAATACTATTTCAATTTCAGAAAAGAAAAATGATATTTTGTTTCTGAAAATACAGCTGCTTTTAGAAAACTATTTAGTGAATTAAGTGCTAGGGAAAAACTCAAAGCTGATAAGTACCATCATTGGAAACCCTTTTAGTTTTTTATTTTTTTCTTAAAATGGGAGACCAAAGTCTGAAGAGAAGAGAAGTTACACTGGAAGGTCTTGGAGAGATTAGATTCCCATAATGTTATAGTGCAACAGATCTCTTAGTTGATCAAGAGAAAAACTCAATCTTTCAACTTAATTCACAAGTGAGAGTGATGTTGATGAGTAAGCGTACGCAAATGTTACCTTATCTTCCAAAATTCTTGCAATTTGGTTATATACTTTTGTTGTATCGCTACAAGAGTTAACATACACAATTATGGAAAAAGATCATTTTTGCTATTTTTTAAACAAATTACCATTTTTTAAATTAAAGAAAAAATACAAAAGTGGTAACAACAGCCTTTGAATGATCTCAAAATTTGTGAAAGCTCCAAATTAATTACTATAATCCTGATCACCAAATCCTGGCTTTCCTTCTACTTTCTTTTATTTTTTTTTCTTCTTTTTTCTTCCTTTTGGGCCCGGAAACGGGTGGTCCTTGCTCTAGTTATGGAATTTGATTCTTTCTACTTCCTTTTAGTTAAAATATCCTATTCCAATAATTCTATGCCACTGACTATCTTCAACTTTAACAATGGTGAAAATTAAAATAATGTGCTCAAAAGTATGATTTATATATATTTTCAGTAAATTTTTAATATAGATAATTTGGTGTTTAGCTCCTAAGTTGTTGTAGTACTTTTTTTGATGGGATTAAAGGAACATCCACTTTCCCTCATCCAATGTATATTCTGAATTGTTAATCACCTTTTTAGTAAATAAATGTATATACTAATATGGCTAAAATTTCTCAATTAAAACAATTAAGACACGACTGATACAAAAGGTTATGAATCCTTTTTATTTGTTATTTGAACATGACAGTGTTTTCTGGAATTTGTTATCTATTTCATTTTACCAACTTCAATTCTAAATCTATTGCTGGACCTTGTTCTGCAGTGCCTCCACCATTATTCTTCACAAACTATTTTATTTAACCACTCGGGTAAGCCTCTATTACCTGTTGGACAAGGTATAAAGAGAGAGTTGACTATGAGTGAGAGATAAAAGAGAGAACAGTGTGCCTATTCTTAGACAAGAATGCATTAATTAAAGTAAAATATTTATTCTTAGTCACTAATATCGATAACAATGGGTGAGATGAATTCATCTTTGATTTGTGGTGTACTAAATGAAATGACCAAATTACCCTATTTTATTTTTATATAATCTTATTTATTTAAATAATAAAAAATAAACCATATCAATTTTTTTAAAAATTTTTCTTTTCACCCTTATATTTCTCTCACTATCCAAAAAAAGGAATTAGTGATCGCATATTAACACTACCAGAAAAATGACATTTAGTGACCGCATGATTGGTCACTAATTTCAAAAGGCCGCAGTTACTAAATAAATCAATGATTGCATTTGTGACTGCTATGGTTGATCAGAAAAAGTCTCATCACTAATTGGTTTTGTGACCAAGGCAGTCACCAATCAGTGACCGAATATAATCGGTCACTAATTTTTTACCGTAATAATCGGTCACTAATTAGTAACCGCCCTTATTTCGGTCACTAAATAGTGCCGCAGTTTTTCCATTATTAATCAGTGACCAAAAAACATATGGTCACTGATTAGTGACCGATTGCAGCAATCACTGACTAGTGACCGATTGCAGCAATCACTGACTAGTGACCGATTATAGCGGTCACTGATTATTTAATGACCATTTTTATAACAAAATTAGATACACATTTATTGACCAGGAATGTGGTAAGTAATCAGTGACCCGCAATTTTTCTGTCACTAGTCAGTCACTATTTAGTGATCCCATTGACCTTATTATCCTAATTACGTGTAGAGTCACAATTGGGTCACTAATTTTGAGACCTCCTTGTGACCCACTTTAAGGGTCACTGATGTTGTAATTGCTGTAATACATATATATCATTTCAATTCCCATAATGTATTATAATAATTCTTGTAATGTATTTGTATTATTTCAATTGTAATTCACCAATAGCATACATGAAAAGTAATTAAACATTATGGTACAATTAGTTTGAAATGTCAAAATTTTTAATAATACAATTTGATAACTATTTTGAAACATAAAAAATAAAATAAAAATGTATAGTATTAAAACATAACAATGTTAAACTGTAACTTCATTGCCTATTGCCTTCTCCAGTGCTCTCATTTTGGGTTGATAATCTACTTTGTCTTGTATTGAACTTTTCCATCATTACAGCCATTGCAGCCATCATAGTCTCCTCCCTGGCCTTCATTGCCTCTTCTCTGGCCTTCAGTATCTCTTATGCTAATTTCTTAACCTCTTGAAGCACTTGTGCCTCTCTTGATACTGCTGCTTGTCTCTCCTCTGTAAGCACTTTAGCAATTACCTCTTGTAATTGATTCAAACTTATATATCCAAAAGTAGATGCTGTAGAGATAGATTCAGATGAACTACTAATAGAAGCAAACTCTCTGCAATAATAGGTGTTCCCAAAACTATAAATTCGATTTTTGCAAGACCCACCACATTTTGTAACCCATTTCTGCGTATCAAATGACCTTTTTAGAGTAGGATTGTTACCATATTGACTCCAATATGAGTGATTATACTCCTCCTATAAATAAATAAATGACAAGTAATCACCTTACCTTACACGATGATAAGACTAGAATAGAAGAAATAAAAAATTAGATTTTGGTAAGAAAAACAAACAGAATTATATTTGTAACTCAGCTGAGATATGCTTGTAATCAGTCAGACCTATGCTCATAACTGAACAGATTTAAGCCAGAAACATCCATTAGTTCAATTACAAGCAGAGTTTTGTTTATTTTCAAGCAGATCTTAGTTCATTTCCAAGTATATATCCTTTCAGTTACATGCATATATCCTTTTGTTGCCCCACCAATTCATCTTCAAGAAATTAAAGCCTCTAAAGGCACAGGGAATTTAACTGCCGAATGTTGAGAAGCACGTGAAGACGAAGCACCACTCTCTTCCCCCGCACAATTGCTATGATCACTCTTACACTGACAAACGAGCTAGTTGGATATGGTGGGATGCAGCTCATCACCTTTCTTCAAGCACTATACTATCTAAAAGGTGAAATATTCTTCGGTCCAATCACAATAAAAATAGGATTAAGTTAATTATGCACGCATATTATATATGCATGTGTAAGACAAAAACAAAAAGAAAAAGGAATATATATCATGCATGGAAATAAGGAAGATGTATTCGTAAAATCGTAACGTAAGGTCCATCAACTGCCGTGGGGTGCGCCGAATTCGTGGATCGGTCTAAATTGTTAACAGCAACGAACAGAAAAGATTTATAAAAGCTAAATTGATAATGTGCATCCTTGTACAGTCTCTTTTTGTTCTGCATATTTTTAAAAGAAAGAAGGCAAGTCAATAAGTTACACTTGTTAATCTATCTTTTCAATAAGATTTCCAAATAGTTAATTGATTTAGCGGATTGTACATAACGTTACTGATCGACTGGTTGCCTTGCCTTCAGCTTTTTGAGCACAGGTGAGACCATTTCAACTGTGGTGGATTTTGATTTTCTCTATTCAACCATGTTCGGGCTTCAAGTATTGCCGACTTTATATCTCTTGAAGTATTAGATTCTTATATGCAACTCCGACTTTAAACTTTGTCGATTTTCTTTTTAAAAAATTACTTTTTGTGGATTCGTTGTACTCTGAAACTTTGTTAATTAATTGTTTCAGTGTATTTGAGAAAACAGAATGAATTGTAACATGGCTTTCATGCTTACAAGGAGTAACGTTGTACGAATAATGACTCTATCGGATGTCACATGACGAGAATCTTTAAACTTCTTTGGATATAGACAGTGGCGGAGTCCAGACAATAAAGGTAATGGGTGTCGAGACCATCGCAGAATGCCTCTCTATTTCACCATTGATGAGCCCCTCCCTTTTTTGCCTTTTGTCATCGTAAAGCCTGTTGCCGCAGCTCTCCCTTCACCTTTTACCATCATGTGGTCCGTTGTTGTTGTCCCTGTTTCATATTTCACCATGGCCTCTCACGTTGGGTCACTAGTGTGAAACAATATTATGCATAAACTCAAATAGCTACTATTAAATAATTTTAATATAAATATTTTTGACTAATTATTTAGACTCAAGAAATTGTTTAAATAAGTTTAATGAGAGCTTCACAATTTCAATTTAAACAAGATTGAGTTAATTGTATTTAATTAGTGGAATTCTACGTGTACAATTATAATAAGAATTTTTGGTGTCTCGCTTTCTGTTCATGTGTCTGGTGGGTTACGTATGCTTTTCCGTCTACTAGATATTTTGCATAAGACCACCACTTTTATTGAATATATACATGAACTAAAGCTGCAACTTTCTCTAGTTACGGTCCTCATTTTCTCCCTTCAAGGGAAAAACAGAGTGCAACATGAAGAGTCCTTTGGGTATCTGAAGATCACAGAGACAAGTAAAGCATACCTATGTGTGCTATTCGTCCAGTCTACGTACGCAGGCTTGGCCATGCTCACCAAAACTGCCCTTACTAAGGGTATGAGCCCTTATGCGTTTGTGGTTTACCGGCAAGTTTTCGCTACTCTTGCCCTAGCTCCGTTTGCTCTCTTCTTGGAAAGGTTTCTAATCTTCTCTTTCATCCTTCAAATCAGTTTAGAAACAGGTTCCAAAATCACAATCTTACCTTCTTCTTCTTGTGATTGTTTAAATTAACCTGTAGAGACGAGCATAATTCTTTGTCACGTTTCTTAGTCTGCAAGGTCTTCTTTGTTGCTTTCTTTGGGTACGTTCTTCTTCTTCTTCATTTTTCCTTTCCTTTCCTTTCCTTTCCTTTATATATATATTTTTTGATATATTAAATATCAAGATTCACTTCTAACTATATTTCATATGAGATGAATTGAATATTTCAGGATCACTCTGCCCTTGAACATGTATGTCTTTGGAATAAACTACACATCAGCAACGTTAGCTTCGGCCTCTGCCAATACTATCCCCGTGATTACACTAATCCTGGCTGTTATATTAAGGTAGATATGTTAGAAAATAGTGCAGTGGACAAGTTTGATTAATTTAAAACAACTTGTACAAATCTGAATCTGAATTTGATAACTTATTTGCACATTTAAACTTGATTTGAAATTTTATAAGATTTATATTTATTAATTCATATTCGAATTAGATAGATAATTTGAAATTTGACAAAAAATTTGATCAAATAAAAAATAGTATTTTTTTATACTTAAATCTTTCAATTTTATTCTATCAATAATATTAGTCACTAATTTTATTAATTTTCTTAACTTACTCCTTACAAGTTTAAATTTATTAATATTATATATATATTATTAATTTAATAAAAATATTATTAAAATTTTAATTCAAATTTTTAATGGATCAGATTGTTTAATTATATATCTGATTCACATATTTCAAATTACGATATTTATAATTTAATTTAATTTATCTAGTATTTTAATCAGATTAAAATTTTAAAATTTATATTGAATTTAAATTAAAATGTAAGTCATTGATAACCCTATTAAAAAGTAGTATTTTTTATAATTTTCTTGATAGGGAGAATATTCATAGAGCTGACTTATTTTAGTTACACCAAGAGAGTGTTGCTGGATAACTCTAAACGTTTTCCGTAGGCCCAATAATGAATTTTCTTCTTGGGTATTGCAGGATGGAACGAATTAGCATAAAGAAGTGGCATGGAGTTGCGAAGGTTTTGGGTACAATTGTGTGTCTTTCGGGGGCCATGGTGGTTGTTTTCGTGAAGGGACCTTCGGTTTACCCTGAAGTTAGCCAGAGCAAAACCTCACAGTATTTCATAGAAAGAGGTGACAAAATGCAGTGGATAAAGGGTTGTTTCATCATGCTCTTGGCCATGACACTTGCGTCTCTATGGATCACCATGCAGGTCTCTCTCTCTCTCTCTCTCTCTCGCTCTCTGTGGACTATGACTTGTCATTAAAAATTTATAAAAATAAATTTGAGATTAAAAAGAAAAAGGCAATAAGAGCCCTTCAAGATAAAAGAGAGCACATTTTTTATTTTTTACATTAAAAGCCTAAAGCCACAAGGACTGGAAGGGAAATGAGACAAATTCTTGATACAGCTTGTATATGTAGTCTAAGAAACCTGAATAGTCTTAGAAAATATATTAAGAGGCCGGAAAAAAATATTTTCTTAAAAATCATATATAATCCCAAACTATAAAGCAAATCCTTCCAAATTTAAATGAAAGATATTAAACTAGAAGGGAAGGTTGCTCAATTAAACAGCAGTCTAACTTTTATGCCCTTTCTTATATAGTTTAACTCTTTCTAGAGTCATTAAAAACTCCCAAACAGCTTTATTTGCTTCAAATTCACTTGGCTTTTGTTTTTAGGGTCCCATGGTGAGGGCCTACCCTGCAAAACTAAGGCTAGCAGCTCTGCAGTGCTTCTTCACCTGTATACAGTCAGTAGTCTGGGCTATTGCCATGGACAGGAAACCATCATCGTGGAAGCTTCACTGGGATCTCTGTCTTCTTTCCGTAGCATATTGTGTAAACATTTTCACCAATCCTTGCAATTAAATATGATTCGGTATCAGCGTTTCTTTCTTTCTTCTTTATTCTCTTTAACCCATCTCTTCAAGAGATAAGGTGTCTGGTTTTGGGGCTTTTCAAATGCAAAAGCCTTGTTTTCATTCTTTTGAAGTAAAAGCTTTTGGCTTTTTAGAGAAAGCTGACAAACCTAAAAGGCCTTGTGCTTGTTTGAAGCAAAAATTCTGAACAACAAAACAAGCTCAAAAAAAATTTAAAGTGATCTTTTAGTAATTATAGTTGCTTGCTATGGAATTACAGGGCGTGGTGGCCAATGGTGTGGCTTACTGGTTGAGGATTTGGGTGATAGAGAAGAAAGGCCCTGTTTTTGTTTCTTCCTTCGTTCCGTTAACAATTGTCATCACAACCACTCTCTCAGTGATCTTGTGGAAGGAGGTCCTCCACTGGGGAAGGTCCTAATCATTCTTTTATTATTGTATAACTAGTTTTCCCTTGAGCAAAATAATAATGAGGGTACCATAGTATCCTTTAACATTGTATATTGATGGCAAATAACTTTAAAATAATTATTCATAAATATTAAAAACATATTTGTAAGGAAAATAAAATTAATCATGTAAAAATATTTTCTTTTTAATAAATTTCTATTATAATTGTATTGTGATAAATATATATATATTTGAAGTAGGACATGCAGGTTTCGAAGGGCGGCCATTTAATTATTTATATATATGTTTTGGGTGATAGTGTGGGCGGAGTTGTACTGCTGGTGGGAGGCCTCTACGGTGTTTTGTGGGGAAAGCATAGAGAAGCAAAGACCAAAGCGATTGAAAATAAGTCAAAGGAAAATAAAATGGAAACCATTCCCGAGTGCGATACTGGAAAGACCACCAGTGACATTGAAGCCGCAGCCAATTCCTTTGCAGAGACGCGCCGTTCCCCAGAATGATTTATATATTTTATACCCTTTGTATTACTAAACATAAATAAATAAATAGAGTAAAAACTTGTTTTTCTAGAATTCTTTACACTAATAATGTTGATTTTTTTAATTTACCAAAAATTCAATTTTTTAGTTTATTTACCAGAAAATATGCCGATTTAAAAAAATTCCTTAAGAACAGACTTTTTAATATACTTTATTATTACTTTTTTATTAGTTAATCAAAAGTCAATATTTGGATAAATCAAAGTCAGTTTTCTTAAAATTGACTTTTCTTGAATTGGTTTCAGCTCACTTATTTTAAGGCCGATTCAGGCCTGACATACTTTATTTGGTTTTTCTATACGAATAATGCTTTTTTTTTTTTTATTACTGTTAAGAAGCCACCTCGTTAGAAACAACTTCTTAGCTTACTTGATTTTGTTTTTATAAAACAACTTGATAAATTAGTTTTTAAAAAATTAACTTTTAAACCTATTAACATTTTTTTAAGAAAAAATAAATCATATGTTGAGAATTAGTTTGAGTTAAATTAAGTCTCAACGTGTATTGTTTTAAAAAAAAAAATCATCAAGTTGAGAAGTCAGTTTCAAAAACCAACTTCTAAACTTGCTTTGTAAAATAAATAAATAAGGCAGAGAAAAAAGAACCCAAGTCATATGACGAGAAGAAAGAAGCTACATCGGTGAATGGTGAGGAGTGCGCTGACTACCTTCTTCGCATGAGTTGGCAGCTGAAGAGGAAGGCAATGATGGCAAAAATCGAGCTAGCGGTGGCTTCTCTGATTATGCCTCTTCAGTTGGTTTCAAGCTGTGACTACCTTATTTCAATCTAGAATAAAGCACATGATTTAGAAAAATCGGACCGGACTAGACTGGCGATCAGACCAATCCGATCATTGACCGGTCATGTTACCAGTCCGGTTTCTATTAAAAACTGATAAAGTTAAGAAAACCGAATTATTTCATGAAAACCTTTCAAATCGCCGATCCAACCATTTGAACAGTTAAATCATTCGCGGCTCAGTTGAACTGGACAGTTTAAATAATGTTTATAAAATTGTATGAAATGGTGCAGCCGCTAGGAATTGAACTTCTATCAAGAAGCTAAAGACGTAATTTTCTACCACCAAACCACAACTTGCACATTTAATATTTTATGTTTACTAAAATATATATTGATAATTGACGTCATGTCATCAAAAATGATTAACATTTTTAAACAAAATTTTATATTTAAAAATTTAATATAATAAAAAATTTATTTTTATATATTATCCAAGTTGATTAAATTTGGGTCACTTCACACTACGAGAAAATGGCGAATTAGCAATGAAATTTATCGACGTAAGAGATTTTCATCGGAATACAAACAATATTTCCGACGCAGAAAAGGCGTTGGTAATTTATCAACACAACATCGATGCAAAAAGGCATCAGAAACTTACCGACAAAAAATTTTTGTTGGTAAATTTTCGGTAAATATTACTGACGCAGAACAATGCGTCGGTAATAAATAAAAAAAGAAATAAAAGATTACCAATGCAATAATTGCGTCGATAATCTACTGTACCTATAAAAAAATAATTATTATAAAAATAATTTCAAATATTAAATTTACCGACGCAACATTTGCGTCAGTAACTTAAAAAAAATAATTAGTATAAAAATAATTTCAAAAAATAAAAATTATCGATGCAAAAATTGCGTCGGTAATTAAACTTCGTATTATCGATGCAATGTTTGTGTCGGTAATTTTTTAAAAAATAATTATTTAAGTTACCGATGCATAGGCGTCGGTAATTTGAATTACATGCGTTGGTAATGTGCGATGTCACGCTTTCCGAGGAACATGAACCGAGGAGCTACCAACGCACATTACCGACGCAGTGCGTCGATAACTCCTCCTATATATCACCCGTCGCCTCCTGCCCTTACTTCCATCTCTGACTCTTTGTTCTCTCTCCTGTTTCTCTCTCTTCTCTATCTGTTTTTTGCAATCACCGCACCGCACCGCACTGGTACGATTTGTCTCTCCCATTTGTTTAAATTTACACACTACATGCAATGGTTATGTAGATATATATATATATATATACATGCTTATATACATGCATGCTTAGTTGTTTACCATTTTTTTAAGATAGTGTTATGTTTTTATATAATTTTTTTAAATTTTTATAGAATGGAATGGCCGCCCTGCCCAACTAGGGCACCCAGTTGGGTTGTTGGGCCTAGCCCAATGATTGGGCCGGCCGAGGCCGACCCAGCCCACTTATTTTTTTTAAATATTTTAAAATTTTATATTTAAAATATTTTAAAATATTATTTAAAAAAATAAAATATTAATGTAAAATATTATTAACAAAACCCAATAAATAATATAAATTTAAACTATTTTTTAATAAAATAAAATATTACTTTAAAATATTGTTAACAAAGCCCAACAAACTATTATTAATAAAATAAAATTTAACAAAGTCCACTAGAGAGTATTAATTTAAAATATGGAATGTAAATTTAAACTATTATTTAAAAAAATAAAATATTAATAACAAAATCTAATAAATAGTATTAATTTAAACTATTATTTAAAAAAATAAAATATGAATTTAAAATATTATTAACAAATCCAATATAATAGTATTAATATATACTATTATGTAAAAAAATAAAATATTTATTTAAAATATTATTAACAAAGGCCCAATAAATATTATTAATTTAAACTATTATTTAGAAAAATAAAATAGTAATTTAAAATATTATTAACATATTTTTTAAACAAATAAAATAAAATAATGAAATAAAATGTTATTTGAATATTGTTTAATAAAGTATTTTAAAAAATTAAGCTAGTTTAACACATTAAAATTATATAAAGAATTGAAATAATATTTTAATTATTTATTTAATGACACTTGAAATATATTTTAAAATATTAATTAATAAGTATTATAATTACAAATTTAATGAATTAAAAGTTAAAATTAAAAATATTATTTAATCATTAAAGAGATATCTTGAAAGTAATATTTAATAAACCTTATAACTATCGTAAACCAAGGTAAATGACATAAATTCAGATTAATCATAAATTTTTGGAAATGTGTTGTATTTAAATAGTTATATATTTAATTTGATTAAAATAAAATTTTGAACGTTATAGCAAATAGAACATATTTTTGTTGATTATTCATAGATATGGAAATTCCAGAACATTGTCGGTGGATGTATAGTAGGCTTCACGCGGGTAGAAGGGGATTGAAACTAGAATTTGTGAATGGTGTTGATGAGTTATTTTCGTATGTTTGCCAACAACCGGAATTCATAAGAGAGAGGTTACTTCAGTGACCTTGCTATAAATGTAAATATTTGAAATATTTAAAACCTAATACAGTTAAGGTTCATCTTTGTCAAAAGGGATTTTGGAAGGGTATTGGTATTAGACTTATCATGGAGAGGAGTCCAATTTTGAAATAAGTAGGGCTTACGATATTAGTAATTCTCCGAGTAATCAACATGAGAATTTAAATAGATACTAGGAGATGATACATGATTCTTGTAGGCCTGAGTATTATGCTAATTTTGAGTAAAGAATGGAGGATGCTCCTAATGCTGATGCTCAAAATTTTTTTTTTGACTTACTGAATGCAGTAAATATACCATTATGCCAAGGGTCTCGTCATTCTGAATTGTCTGTTACAACTAGAATAATGAGCATCAAATCTGATTGGAATGTTGCGCAGCAGTGTGTTGATTCAATGGTTGAGCTTATGCGTGAAACAAATCCTTATGAGGATATTCGCATACCTCAATCTTATTACGAGGGTAGAAAATTGGTGTTAAACTTAGGGTTGCAAGTTATGAAAATTGATTGTTGTGAGAATGGTTGTATGTTGTACTACAAAGATGACATTGATGAACTTTCATGTAAATTTTGTCAGAAACCAAGATATCGACCATGTAGAGTAGGAAGGGAAAATTTCAAAAATGTGGCAGTAAAGTCGATGCATTAGTTTTCACTTATTCTAAGATTGCAAAGATTATATGCATCAATGAGTTCTTCACCTCATATGAGATGACACTATGAAAATAGGCGACCTCGGGGTGTTTTGAGTCATCTATCAGATGAGTAAGCATGGAAGCACTTTAATTGAGTATATCCTGACTTTGCAATTGAGCCTCAAAATATAAGGCTTGGATTATGTTCTGATAGTTTTACTCCATTTAGTAAGTCGTCCCAATTATATTCTTGTTAACCTGTAATTGTCACTCCTTATAATCTTCCACCAGAAATGTGTATGATAAAACCTTACATATTTTTGACATGTATTAACTTGGACTGAAAAATTCCAAAAGTTTAATTGATATTTATTTGCAGCATTTGGTTGATGAATTGAAGTTGTTGTGGCACGTAGGTGTTTTGACATATGATGTTTGTACAAAACAAAATTTTATGTTGCGTACAGCTATAATTTGGACAATCTTTCCTGTATATGAAATGTTGTTTGGATGAATGACTGCTGGTAAATTGACTTGCCCTTACTGTATGGAGAAAACAAAGGATTTTACTCTAACGTATGGTGGTAAGAATTCATGGTTTAACTGTTATCGTTAATTTTTACCGTGTGATCATGTATTTAGGAGGAATAAAAGAGATTTTATAAAGAATAGGGTTAAAACTGATAAGCCGCCACATAGACTATCTGGTGAACAATTATAGGATAAAGTTTGCTCTCTTCCTAAAGTGGCTGAGCATGGTCGATCTAAATTACTGAGATATAGGGTATACCATAATTGGACTAAGTAGAGTATATTTTGGGAGCTTCCGTATTAGAAAATACTTTCGATTAGGCATAATCTTGATGTGATGCATGTTGAAAAAAATGTTTTTGATAATATCTTTTATACTATAATGGATATCAGATTGAAAACAAAAGATAATATCAAAGCAAGGATTGACTTGGCAGAGATTTGTAGGCGGCAGGATATGGAACTTGTCAC